GAATATTATGGTATCTTTATTTGGAAGTACATATGGTTGTAAACAATATTTTCGAAAACAAAATAATACTAAATATCGTTTAAGAACAAGCTTGCTTGATGACCACCTGGATGAAGTTTTGTTCCTGTCATAGACAAAAATGTGATGTGGAAAATTTATCGAAAAATAAGCAGAAACAAGTGTCTCATTAAATAATTTGCCATTTCTAACTGTATTTCGTTTGTAGTAAGGAATTTGCATTTTGTATTGATTGTGTTAGTTGTTATCCCGTTATTCCTGCAGTAAAATAAGGAACCTTGTAAAAATAATATAACATTAACTTCGTTGTCTTTTATTTAAACCTGCAGACCAAAGTATCATTCTAGACGGAGCGGTCTGATTTCGAGACAAATTATTATAGTACATTTGATATCATGGCCTTTCTCAGAGACACGACATAGCTTTCTCTCTCTAAAAAGTTGCTGACCTCTTATACAGGGGAAGGAAAACCTTAATTTTAAATATCTGCTGTCTTTTCTAAACACGGAAATGGTTATGGAAGCAAATCCAGACATAAAACCCGGTGTCGTGCCCCGAGGGCGGTTGGCTATCAACACTGACCACTTTCCGGCAACTCTTGCAGCTAAGTCATACCCAAATGTGTTGCCCTGTATTCCTTTGGATCTTGTAAGTACGGCCATGTAGTTTATGCAGTGTACGGCTTCCATATTCTATTGTCCAGGCCTGCACTCTGGAGAGATCATCCCAGTTCCATCACTAAAGGACTGAATTTTGACCAAAGAGGGCACTATCTTTATATCTCGAGATAAACAGATGCCTACTATTTACATACGTGTACAAAAATTTATTCAACTGCATATGTGCCGTTTTGTTTCATCTATTCTTGCCATCTTTGAAGCAGTTTCATAATTCCATCCTCCCAGAAATTGGCGTCTTTCTGGATGATGAATTAGTCTAAATGTTTTTTACAGGCTTCCAGAGAATTGATTTTTTCACCATTGAGCATTTTGTAGGGATTGAAATAAGTGGTTATCCGAAAGTGCAAGGTCAGAGAAGTAATGATGGTCAAGTTGAGCATCCCAGCCAAGCTGTAACAATTCCTACTGTATTTTCAAAATGATGTGAGATCTGGAATTATTCTGATGGAATAGGACACCTTTCCGACTGGCTAACTCCTGATGTTTTTCACCGATTGCTACCGTTAATTTGTCCAACTTTGAAAAGTATTTGTCAGAATTCGGCGTCTGATTTTGCCGAAGTAGCAGATAATAGACAATGCCCTTCCAATCACAATAAACACGTAGTATCACTTTCTTTAAATACAGACATGCATCACGATTTTTCCAAGTCATTTTTAGTTCCACTGTGTTGTAAGCAACTCATTTTTCATCGCCTGGGATTCTTCTTTTCGAAACCTAATCGTTTTTGTTGCGTTTGAAGATGGAATTTTTCGTTTATTTTCCCGTTCAATCTTGAGTCACCCAAACATCGTAACGATTCACATATCCAAGTGCTTCCAAATGCCTGTCAACGTTCATATATGATATGCGTAGTATCTGTGCGATATCCCGTGTCATAGCATGGATTTTTATTTATTTATTTTTCTAAGCATTTCACCACAAGCAAAGCGGGAACGCCACTAGCACGCAGTGGGTTACAGAGTGTGAACGTGAGGGGAAAGACTCTGTACAGGGAGAATGAAGAAATGATAAATAAAGAACGGGAAGATTGATTTGCATTTAAATTTTTGAAGATTGTAATTATCAGGGAAGAATGTAAGCGGAAGGGAGTTCCACTTTCGGGAAGCGCGCGGAAAGAAACTGCTGGAGTACAAGCGGTGGTTCCTTTTTTATTACTTCAAAAGTAAAAGGGTGGGACCTAAATGCTAACCGAGAAGAATAACACTGAACGCAAAAGTACCCACAAGAATAATGGTCTCTCTTAGGCTGTTCTGCCCTAGAAGCACTCTCTGCTACAAAGACTATAGTATATAGCGCCGTTCCCAATAACCTTAGTGGGTTGCAGGACACTTGATATAGTGTAAAAAATTTCTCTGAAAGGTCTGTAAAATTAAAATGTGAACTGTCTCTATTTGGAGCGTTAAAATACAAGGAAACGACGCATTTATAATATTTGAGTCGATATATTTTTCATAATTACAGTGTGCAGGCGCGTCTTTCACAACGTATCTGCCCGCGGGTTTGTGTCTCCATGTGTGACATTTCTCTTTTCGCGGACTTTTTTCTTGCTACTTTATTCTACCATTCTCTTGGTAATGGCCATTTCCCTGTTTTACTCTACAGTTTTCAGTTTTCATCGAAGTTCGATTATGCATCTATCGATCTATAATTTATTTTTTTCTTGCAGCATATCAACAGCGACGTTCTCTTTCTATTTTATAGCTATAATCTACATTGTGCAAGTAGATTAAATTGCAACATACGCACATACGGAAGAGAAAACACCATTTGCTTTCGAATTGGTATTTTAAGAATCTTTCTATGAGAAATACAAGGAAGTAAATGTGGAAGATTGTGTGGTTTACATTGTTTATCACCACGTTTCTCCCCCACTCTTATAGACTCTCTGTACATACATTCTATCAGGAAAAATCAACAAAACAGATATGGAAAAGGAATAAATTTATTTATAAATTATATATCGTAATCAATTATTTACAAATATCATCACATCTTCCGATTGTTTCAGTTTATTTATTTAGTATTGATTTGTTTATTCAGGATTATTTAAATCCAGAAAAAAATTTCTGAGTGCAAGAATTTATTGGCGATAATAATGATTTACTGATACAAGTTCTACTAATTGACCCATAGCTGATAGGAGAAGAGCTTGATTCTCACCTTTTCTAAAGGTATTTACTCACATTTTTTTTGTGAAATAAAAAAGAATTACATTAAATATTCAGTTTAATGACACAGATTTGCTTGTCATTTGCCTGCTATTTTACATCACTTACATTATATCATCAAACCTCATTCATTAATTTCCTAACTTAAGTAGTTCTCGAACCTTGTTTTGGGTGAACTTTAGTAAAAAAAACACATATATATATATATATATATATGTATGTATATATATATATATATATATATATATAACATATAGTAACATCTAAAATGGGCAGCACATGTTAATCGAAGCGAGAATAATGATATAATCAAGATATTGTCTTTCCACACTACTTCAAACAAAAGGTTAGGAAGGAAATCGCTGTCAATATTTGAAAAAGCTAATGGATTTGAAAAAGCCTATTTTCTTTTAAAATTGTTTTAACCTAAAGATTTCATAATTTTCAAAAGAAATCAGTACTTGCTGCTCGGTCAATAAATGCCAAATGTTTCCTTGAAGGAAAACGACTCATATTGTTATTACCACTACCAATATGCGAAAATCATTCAAAACGCGATGAATTAATGAAAGTGACCATATTAGCGTTACAGCTTTAAAATGGAATTTAATTATTTACACTATTTACATTGTTCGGGCTGTTGTCCTCATCTTCGTTGCCATATTCACAATGTTTTTTCGATCGTTGTAATTTCGAATTGAACCCTTTATTTCATCCAGAGTAGATTGTTCTAGATCTACTTCCACGTGTCATGTCTTTTCCAAATGTCTCAGTAACAGTTATCTCCCTTTAACTCAACTGTAGCCAGGTTCACTCACAACTCTTTGGATTAACTTACTGGATTCAACCACTACTTTTCTCAATGTGTCATGTGTGCTTGAGGAGATCAATGGTTAGAACGTTAGCGTTTGGATCATGAGTTCGAATCTCTCTATGGCTGAATTCTTAAGGCAGATACTTCTTGATAATATTGCCCTGGGTTGTGCAGCGTTCCCGGGTATTGTGTGAAGGCCACGTCACGGATTGACCCTACCTGTTCGTCGTCGTCCATGTTCGTGCTATGATGTCCTCAATCATTTTGAGCGGACAGGCCTTGTTC